GAAAAAAAAATATGGATTTAATCTATTTACAAACCCTTTTAATAGTAGTTATTACAAATAAGCACACGGTGAACAACTAATTTCAATCTAGGTCCAACCCAAAAACTCTTTTACAAAAAAGTCCAGACAAAGTCCAGAGATATGTAAATGACCAGAATACCCCACCATATTTTAATATACTACAATTTAACCTGAATTTAATACTATGTCTACCTATTGTCTCGAATGGATAAACTTAGTGATACACACTATAAGAGCAATATACAAAGATTCTAAATGCAATATAATCAAATTCCTACAAAACATATGCTAAATCCCAATAATCATGCAATCTATAATTAAATCCACAAATCTGATGCATTACATTAGCATTCTTGGAACCTCTATTTAAAGTGACAATTTGGGCCCAAAATGAATGCATCCAACCACAAACCAATTCATCAAAGAATTAACAATGGCTTCCACAAATATGAATGTATTTTTCTCCTATGTTGTGCTTTTCTTGTACTTGGTTCATATGATTGAAGCAACTAGCTTGCTCCAAAAACATCATATTCATGTTTATAACGAACTCCCTACAAATTCCGCTTCCTTATTTGTTTACTGCGCGTCGAAAGATGATGTGGTCGCAAATCAGACACTTAATCCAGGTGATCAGTTAAGCTGGTCGTTCCGTTCTAATTGGCTAGGGACGACTCTCTACTTTTGTCATTTTTGGTGGGGATCGAAGCAATCTTCGTTTGATGTGTTTGATGCTCATTGGTATGCGACATATAACACACTCAATTATGTTGCGAGGGAAGATGGATTTTACCGTAGCCACGACCAAGACAATTATTTAACTGATTTGAAAAAATCTCGTCACGATTGGAGTTAATTGTAATTTTTTTTTTTATATCAACATCTTTTGGTAGTTGTATTTCAACAAAATAAATAAATAAATTCGATATATTTAATTAATAGTCCACTCTACAGACTTGCAAAAACTAGTCGTATTCGAAAGTATGAAGACAAACTTTTCATTGCATTTTGATATTAGGTAATATAATTCTCTTCATTAATTTAAGGGAAAATATATGTAGTCTATTTATTATCCATTAACGAAATTAACAACTTAATTGATAAATTTATAAAGATTTTTACCATCTATCATCTAGGTTAAATTTGCAGGTAGGTTTTTGTACGCCGGCAAAGAATAAAAAAAATACTAATAGATTAATGAGAAATCAAATCTTTATTTTTGCAGGTCGGTTAACGGCGGTCTCCGACGTTGACTTTATTTATTTAATCTTTTTACAAAAAAATATTATGAATATTTTCGGGCCACCACCAGTCTTCGCTATTGATTATTTATTTATTTTTTTCTAAATTTTTCTTAACTATTTTCTTTTGAATTATTTTATTTACACACCGTTGACTAGCAACACAATAAGATTAATGTGAAAACACTACAATAATCTTATTGTGTTACGTTATACTGTTCCCAATTTGGTGAAAAAGAAAAAGAAAAATCAACTTTAAGCAGTAAATTTAAAAATTATAATAATATCTAAAATAACTTTAATTTCATCTTCATTAAGCGAATTACCTATCCTAATAGGATAGATTTAGGTAAATATAAGTTATATAACAATGTCGAATTGTCTAATGTAATTTAAATTTTATAATATAGAAGTACATTCAAACGAGAAAAATCAATGCACTCGTAATCTCTTTGCAAAAGTTTTGACGACCAAACACCACATTCGATATATTCAAATCCAAGTTATGATCTCCTAAACATTGATTGTTAAATCCCCTCCGTGAAGAATATATTGTGGAATTTAATGTTTATTGTCTCGAATGGATAAACGTTTCGTTTTTAAATTTTTTATTTGGTAACGAAGGAATTCATGACCAACCAATAACCATTTAGATGCACTGAATAAAATAAACATATACGAGAACTCTCGTAATGATGAGAGTAATATATAAAAATTCTAAATACAATATAATCAAATTCCTACAAAAAAATATGCCAATGTAACGGTTATGACTGTTAGACACGAACGGCGTCGTTTGGATGAAAGAAAAGAATAGATAAACACTTTACTTACTTATAAAAACACATTTTTCTATCAAGAGGCATGGTTAAGAAGAGGCGTTCAATACACGAATCACGAGCGTCCACGTGGATTAGTTGTTAGCTGCTAATTAGAGCTTTTAGTTAGCTAGTTAACTATAAATAGAAGTTAGTTGTATCATTTTGGATTGCCTTTGAATAATACAATCTTTAAACATCTATTTAAAGTGACAATTTGGCCCAAAAAATGAATCCATCCAACCACAACCAATTCATCAAAAGAACAATGGCTTCTACACATATGAATAATTTTTTCTACATATTTGTGATTTTCTTCTACTTGGTTCATATGATTGAAGCAAATACCTTCCTCAGAAAACATCATATTCATATTTATAACGAACTCCCCACAAATTCTGCTTCCTTGTTTGTTTACTGTGCGTCAAAAGATGATGTGGTCGCAAATCAGAGACTTAATTCAGGTGAGCAGGTGAGTTGGTCGTTCCGTTCTAATTGGATCGGGACGACTCTTTACTTTTGTCGCTTTCAGTGGGGATCGAAGCGATGTTCCTTTGACGTGTTTAGATCTAGTTGGTTGAAGACATATAGAGTAGAAAATTATTTGGTGAGGGAAGATGGATTTTATCGTAGTCACGGCACAGACATTTATGGAGTTTGCTATTGGTCTTAATTGTATTTTGTTTTTTTTTATCGATGTCTTTTGGTCATTGTATTTCAACAAAATAAATAAACGAAATCGATATGTTTAACTATCGTCCACTCCTACTGGTTTTGTAGATGCTACATTCATTGAAATACATAGGGTGATTTTAATTCATTTTCGTGTAATAACACAAACACATATTGTGTGGATGCTTAGCGTGGGTGATTAATTGTATAGATGTACGATTTAAAATTATCCGATCAATTTTACCAAGTGTAGCATCTCATGACCGACTTGCAACTATATATATACAATCATGTTTATCTTGTGTCACAATATGTGATTGAGGCAGTTGGTAAACTAAATTCCATACTCACCACAATGTAATTTGATTTGATACACTATATAGGCAATCTTGCAATAAGTAATTAGATCTACTTAAAATAATTAAATTCCTAAAATTATGTTGTTACAAAATTCACATAATCAAATATCTACAAATTACAATTATGCTATGTGACATTAACATTTTGAACACCGACAAGAAGAAAAAAAGAAAACAAATAATTGAAATGAGATATTAAGTGAATATTTGACCAAAAAAGTATTAATTGGAGGTCTTTGCAAATATTAAAAACTTATTGGGCTAAAAATTGCAAAAACTCAAACTTGAGGCGTTGGTTGCAAATAACATTAAGTGTATTGCAATGTAATTACGAGGGAAAATTACAGTTTTCATCCTCAAGTTTGCACCAATTTCACATTTGGTCTCTCATGTTCACTAAAAACACATTTGGTATCTCATGTTCCAATAATTTAACATTTTAGTCATTTCCGTCAATTTACCGTTAGTCATTTACTTAAGGCAGTGATGAACACATCCTTGATTCCGTTAATTTTACGAAAAATTGAAATAAGTGACTAACAATGTTGAATTTTGAAATATAAGGGACTAAATGTGTTTTTTTTATGAACATGGAGAACCAAATGTGAAATTGATGAAAATTGAGGGATGAAAACTGTATTTTCCCTAATTATAACATTTAAAACGCTATTAGAATATGCGTATATTAAAATAAGGGTAAGTTACAACCACCCCTGAAGTATGGTTAAATTACGAAAACCCCCTTTCTGTTTGGTAATTACAACCACCCCTCAAGTTTTAGAAAAATAATCTTAAGATTAATTCTAAAAATAAGGTGCAACGGCTTATAATGTTTTAAAACAAATGTCTTACTTACTGACTAGATAATTACTTAATTAGTTAGTCAGTGAATAATTAAATCAGTTTCATCTAATTCAAATATAATTCGATATATAATTCGATATATGTAAGGAAACCACACTATTAATATGCTATTACACATTTACATAATCAAATCCCCGCCACAGATCAAAAAAATCAAATCCCGACCGTTTGCGATATTACATTAATTAGCATTCTTTTAAACTCCAATTTAAAGTGAAAATCTAGCCCCCAAAAAATCCAACCAAAACCAAATCTAGAACAATGGCTTCTACACTAATGAAGAGCTTTCTCTCTTCTATTGTGCTATTCTTGTACTTAGTTCATATGATTGAAGCCGTTAGCTTCCTCCGAAAAACCGATGTTCATATTTATAACGATCTCCCAAAAAATTCCAAGTCCTTATTGCTACATTGCGCGTCTAAAAACGACGATCTCGGAAACCACACACTTTATCCTGGTCAGGAGTTCAGTTGGTCTTTCCGTACTAATATTGCCTCGACTACGCTTTTCTTTTGTCATTTTTTGTGGGGATCGAAGCAAAGTGCGTTTGATGTGTTCGATTCTAATTGGTATTTCACCTATGACATAAATAATTATATGGTGAAGGAAGATGGATTTTATTTTAGCAATGATGGCGATGATCACGAGAAAGGTGTGAGAAAACGTAGCTCTTGGTAATGAAATAGTTTCTTAATTTTATTTTTATTTTTTATATTTTTATTTTGCTATCGACATCTTTCAGTAATCGAAAAAAATTAATTCGAAGATATACAGAACTCAGAAAACACAGTACATAATATGTATATATATATATATATATATATATATATATATATATATATATATATATATATATATATATATATATTAATGTTTGGGGAAATTACAGTTTTCATCCCTCACGTTTGCACCAATTTCACATTTCGTCCCTCATGTTCCAATAATTTAAGACTTTGGTCATTTCCATCAATTTACCATTAGTCCGGTAATTAAGGCAATTATGGTTACACGTTTCATTCTGTTAGTTTTAACGGGTGATTAATGGAAATGACTAAAAGTGTTGCATTTTTGAAACATAAAGGACTAAATATATTTTTTTGTGAACATGGGGGACCAAATGTAGAATCGGTACTAACTTGAGGGACAAAAACTATATTTTTTTCATCAATGTTCATAATACCAAATGATGAAATTAATCTTTCAACACAGAGATCATTTTTTCTATTAATTGGTGAAATAAAGAACCAATATTGAATTATATCCTATTAGGCTAATAACAAATAGAAAAAAAAATAAGGATTTAATCTATTTGCAAACCCTTTTTAATAGTAGTTATTACAAATAAGCACATGGTGAACAGCTAATTTCAATCTAGGTCCAACCCAAAACTCTTTTACAAAAAATCCAGACAAAGTCCATAGGTATGTAAATGACCAAAATACCCCATCACATTTTAATATACTATAATTTAACCCCAATTTAATACTATGTCTACCTATTGTCTCGAATGGATAAACTTAGTGATACACACTATAAGAGCAATTTACAAAGATTCTAAATGCAATATAATCAAATTCCTACAAAACATATGCTAAATCCCAATAATCATGCAATCTATAATAAATCCACAAATTTGCTGCATTACATTAGCATTCTTGAAACCTCTATTTAAAGTGACAATTGGGGCCCCAAATATGAATTAACAATGGCTTCCACAAATATGAATGTGTTTTTCTCCTATGTTGTGCTTTTCTTGTACTTGGTTCATATGATTGAAGCAACTAGTTTGCTCCAAAAACATCATATTCATATTTATAACGAACTCCCTACAAATACCGCTTCCTTTTTTGTTTAATTTACTGTGCGTCGAGAGATGATGTGGTCGCAAATCAGACACTTAATTCAGGTGATCAGTTGACCTGGTCGTTCCATTCTAATTGGCTAGGGACGACTCTCTACTATTGTAAATTTTGGTGGGGATCAAAGCAATCTTCGTTTGATGTGTTTGATGCTCATTGGTATGCGACATATAACACACTCAATTATGTCGCGAGGGAAGATGGATTTTACCGTAGCCACGACCAAGACAATTATTTAACTGATTTGAAAAAATCTCGTCACGATTGGAGTTAATTGTAAATTTTTTTATTTTTTTTATATCAACATCTTTTGGTAGTTGTATTTCAACAAAATAAATAAATAAATTCGATATATTTAATTAATAGTCCACTCTACAGACTTGCAAAAACTAGTCATATTCGAAAGTATGAAGACAAACTTTTCATTGCATTTTGATATTAGGTAATATAATTCTCTTCATTAATTTAAGGGAAAATATATGTAGTCTATTTATTATCCATTAACGAAATTAACAACTTAATTGATAAATTTATAAAGATTTTTACTATCTATCATCTAGGTTAAATTTGCAGGTAGGTTTTTGTACGCCGGCAAAGAATAAAAAAAATACTAATAGATTAATGAGAAATCAAATCTTTATTTTTGCAGGTCGGTTAACGGCGGTCTCCGACGTTGACTTTATTTATTTAATTTTTTTACAAAAAAATATTATGAATATTTTCGGGCCACCACCGGTCTTCGCTATTGATTATTTATTTATTTTTTTCTAAATTTTTCTTAACTATTTTCTTTTGAATTATTTTATTTACACACCGTTGACTAGCAACACAATAAGATTAATGTGAAAACACTACAATAATCTTATTGTGTTACGTTATACTGTTCCCAATTTGGTGAAAAAGAAAAAGAAAAATCAACTTTAAGCAGTAAATTTAAAAATTATAATAATATGATGAGAGTAATATATAAAAATTCTAAATACAATATAATCAAATTCCCACAAAAAATTATGCCAGTGTAACGGTTATGACTGTTAGACACGAACGGCGTCGTTTGGATGAAAGAAAAGAATAGATAAACGCGTTACTCACTTACAAAAACGCATTTTTCTATCATGAGGCAGGGTTAAGAAGAGGCGCTCAATGCACGAATCACGAGCGTCCACGTGGATTAGTTGTTAGCTGCTAATTAGAGCTGTTAGTTAGCTAGTTAGCTATAAATAGAAGTTAGTTGTATCATTTTGGATTGCCCTTGAATAATACAATCTTTAAACATCTATTTAAATTACATTAGCATTCTTTAAACATCTATTTAAAGTGACAATTTGGCCCAAAAATGAATCCATCCAACCACAACCAATTCATCAAAAGAACAATGCCTTCTACACATATGAATAATTTTTTCTACATATTTGTGATTTTCTTCTACTTGGTTCATATGATTGAAGCAACTAGCTTCCTCAGAAAACATCATATTCATATTTATAACGAACTCCCTACAAATTCTGCTTCCTTATTTGTTTACTGTGCGTCGAAAGATGATGTGGTCGCAAATCAGAGACTTAATTCAGGTGAGTAGGTGAGCTGGTCGTTCCGTTCTAATTGGATCGGGACGACTCTTTACTTTTGTCGCTTTCAGTGGGGATCGAAGCGATGTTCTTTTGACGTGTTTAGATCTAATTGGTTGGTGACATATAGAGTAGAAAATTATTTGGTGAGGGAAGATGGATTTTATCATAGCAACGGCGGAGAGATTTATGGAGTTTGCTATTGGTCTTAATTGTATTTTGTTTTTTTATATCGATGTCTTTTGGTCATTGTATTTCAACAAAATAAATAAACAAATTCGATATGTTTAACTATCGTCCACTCCTACAGGTTTTGTAAATGCTACATTCAGTGAAATACATACGGTGAATTTTTTCATTTTCGTGTAGATTTATGGAGTTTGCTATTGGTCTTAATTGTATTTTGTTTTTTTATATCGATGTCTTTTGGTCATTGTATTTCAACAAAATAAATAAACAAATTCGATATGTTTAACTATCGTCCACTCCTACAGGTTTTGTAAATGCTACATTCAGTGAAATACATACGGTGAATTTTTTCATTTTCGTGTAATAACACAAACTCATATTGTGTGAATGCTTAGTCCGTTAGTTAGGGCAGTGATGGACAAATGCTTGATTCCGTTAATTTTACAGAAAATTGACGAAAATGACTAAACATGTTGAATTTTGGAAACATAAGGGACCAAATGTGTTTTTTATAAACATGGCAAACCAAATGTGAAATTGATGAAAAATTGAGAGATGAAAATTGTGTTTTTTTCCTAATTATAACACTTGAAACGCTATCAGAAATCAGAATATATGTATATTAGGGTAAATTACAACCATTCCTGAGGCATGGTTAAATTACGAAACCCCCCTCATGTTTGGGTAATTACAACCACCATCAACTATAAATCTTCTTACATGTCCACTCTTGCGGTTTCAAATTTAGTGGAATCTTCTTGATTATATGGATTCGCATCATTTTTGAACTCGTTTTATCCATTCGAGCTCCAAGTACATTTTGAAGCAAGTTGATCATAAGATGTGTTTTTTGGCTTGTATATATTCGATTGTGGTGCAATATGAACTGTATTTTTACACAAAATGAGTACGAACTAGAGCACATTCCACGGAATCTAGATGAATCTGTTGAATTTGACACCATGAAAGTAAAGGTGTAAGAAGAAGATGCACAGTTGAAGGGTAAATGTAATTTTCCAAACAAGAGGGGTTTTTTCGTAATTTGACCATACCTCATGGGCGGTTGTAATTTACCCTTCAAATAATGGCAGGAGTGTTTACTTCGGTGATCCACATTCCTCCGCTATTTGCTTTGGTACCCGTTACAATCATTACATTTATTACTCACAATCTTTTTATTTTTTGTGGGGGAAAAAAATAATATTACTATTATCCATAAATTTAAATAATTATTTCGGGGTAATTACATTTTTCGTCCTTATACTATACCACTTATTCAGTTTTCGTCCCTAAAGAAGTTGATGTGACATTTTTCGTCCCTAAACATTGTATTTTTCTACTATTTACGTCCCACCGTTAATTTCTACAGTTACTTAGGTGGCCTTCGAAATTTTAATATGGAACATCTAATATACATGTGGCCAACTAATACACTGTGCCTCTCCTTTTCTTTTCTTTGTTTTTCGTTTCCCTCCCGTAAGGAGTCGACTGGATTCTTCTCTGGAATGGGCAGGGTCTAGAACAAAGGAAAGAGATATGTGGTAGAAGGCAATTGAGGCGTCGATTCCAGCCTTTTAATTCCAAGTTATTCCACCTCGAGAATGGCTACTTTTCAGGTGGAATCAAGAACAAGACAGTGTTGTAATAGAAAAAGTTGTGAATGCAATATCTATTAATAACACATTGTTAAGTATATGCTAATATTAATAACTCGGAGATAATTTTCTGAAATTCTGACATAACAGAAAAGTGGGGAAGGCCAATTAACACAACAATTTTGCTCTTTCTTTTTATTAAACAGCCTTTCTGTTTAAGTTGCAGGTTGATAAACTATCGGTGCCATCACTGTTATGCAGTGTGAACAACCCTTATAATTATATTGACTGCAAAATAATCAACGAATTTGTAAGGGAACATCATCTTCTGTTTGATTTCAAAATTTGGCTATGTTCGTTACGTTGTTAAAATATATATATATATATATATATATATATATATATATATATATATATATATATATATATATATATATATATATATATATATATATATATATAAGTAC